ACGCTTGTAAATTACAGACGTCGTCCTTTGAAACACGCTAGCTCTTTTTTCTTTTGTTGAAACATGCTAGCTCCTTCAGAGAGTTCGCTCTAGACCTAAAAATTTTAGATTTCCCCCAAGCTCGAAAACATTCACTCCTCCTGAACTCTCGTGGCGCCCTCTCAACTCTCAAATCTTCCTAATTTTCCTCATCTCTCTCCCTCCCTCAACTCTTGCCCTCGACCAGACCTCCAAGAGAGACTCCTCCGTCGAAATCGATAACCCAATTTCGTCGTCACATCTCTCTTCCCTCGGTAGTCTTTCGTTACTGGTACAAAACCTAGTGGTTTCGGTTTGAAACCCTGAAACGACGGCGTTATATGAGCGACTGCAGAGAAAAGTCACAGCACAAGGTAACAGTGGTTGTTTCAGACCTAGCGGCTGGCGCTGTAGTCCGAAGATCAACCTTTTCAATCTACCGTGCAATTCAAATGTTGTCGGCGTCATAGTGGCAGTGGGAGACCGCCATCGTCGGCGCCGTCACTGGGTTGCCACCAACACCGCGATGCATCCTCTGGACGTAAGTACGAGATTTCAATTCCACGATGGTCAAGTATCCAATCTTCCAACTTACAAGAACACTGCTCATGCCATTTATGCAATTTCATTTGTTTTTTTTAATTCCGATTTCACTTATGGGTCTTGGATTTATGTTGACTTACGAATTTTTGAAGTTTTCGTTTATTTTCCTATTAATGACTTAGTTTTTCTGTGCAATAAGGTTTCACATTGGCTTGGATTTTTTTGAAGCGACTTGGGAACAGGTGGTTGAAAATTAAATTCATTCTATGTGTTTTTCTGTTTCTGTGGATTTTGGGGCTTCGGGGATTTTACTTTTGGGTTTTTATTTCATCAATGTTGTTCTATTCCTTAGTTTTGAGATTATATACACAAATTTTCTTTGGTTTGACATTAGGTGCTTGGGAATCGAGTGAGGAACTCTGAATTTGGGAACGACAGTAAAAAAAAAAAAAGAATAAGAACAAGACTGTAAATTTCGTCTTGTGTTATTCACAGTGCTTACTCATGTAGCTCATGTCTATGGGTGTAGGTATTTTGATTGTCATCGTTATACATTTCAGATTTAAGTATTTGGTTTCTTGAAACTTTGTTTTTAGTTGTGGTTTCTGTTCTCTAGCCCATGTGTGATCTATAATCTTCTGATACTGTGCAGGCCTGCTTAAACAGATAAAAGAATGCAAGTATAGGCGGGTGTGGGTAATGGAAGATTTTGAAACTTTCAATTCTTAGATGACCCCTGAAGTAGAGTTTTCTTCCCCCTTCCTTAATATTTATTTTTTTAATAATGAATATAGCATTGGTGCACAACATTTGGGACTGGAAGAAGACAAATAAAACAATAAAATACTATGTGATTATTCTCTTCCCTTAAAATATTTGGGACTTGTAGTAGTTATAGTGTTTTCTGACTGTGATGTTTGAAATATAAATGGACTTTGTTTTAAACCTTTCATTGTTGCTTGTGCGTGGGGTTGGTTTGGAGATGAGATGCACAGCAAAGAGCAATTTGTGTAATTGTGTTTGTGTATTTATTTGCATATGTATAACAACAATGACATGATGATGATGGCGATTTGTGGACTCGGAGTGTTTTCTAAGAGTTGGTTTTGTTTTCACTCTCAAGTCATTCCTGCATTTTATTTTGTCTTTTAACTCTAGTAAATAAACACATGAAACTTGAAATTTTTTTATGTCTATGTCCCTGAATTTGGCTGACTTTTTTTTCCCCTAATTGTTTTTTATGTGCAGCTCTGTTTAACTATAAGTTGAGTCAGAGTATTTCTTTTACTTGATCAAATAAGTCTCTCTTGGAATTGCAAAAAAAAAAAAAGGTAATGGCTCTAAGCTTTAGGATTTTCTATTGAAAGCCTATGATATTTGTTGTATTATAAGTCTGGAATGTATTGAACTTTGTGTTCTAATATAAGTATAATCTCTGTTTTTCTGCACAAAGTTCATTTCAGTTAATTTGAGTCCCAGAAAATTGAGTTCTCATAGTATTCAAATTTCTTCATTACATTCAATTCATTTCTTGGTCTTTTGGGAGGAAGTAAGAGAGATTTGAATCCTGTTTGTTCATTACTCAAATAATTGCTAATTAGAATGATGTGCTATGTATTGATCCTAATCTTGTTTTCCTGTAGGATCTTGACAACAAATTAACAAGTTATTTGATTAATTTTTTTCACGAGGTATTTTCATTTTATTCACTTTAAGTATTTTTGTTATTGGGTGCTTTTTTTTTTTATGGAGCAGGGAAGGCATTGAAAGAGAGGGAAAAAGCTGCCCAACAAAGAATGAGATTTTGGGAAAGATACAGGAGAAAGGGCATTGGACTATAGCGATTGAAGGGAGGAAGAAAGGCTTTGCTATATGTTGAGTACAGAAAAAGAAAGGAAAGAGAAAAGGTTAATATTAGGAACCATGTAATTCATGTATCATCTATGGATGAGGTAGAATTTGTGAGCAATCACATGTAGTTCCACTGTTTCTAATTCTATGTAATAAAATTGAATCTTCAAGTTTTATGTAAGAAATAATTTTTGAGTATATATATTCATTAATAAAGCATTATAATTGGTTTTGTAGTTAAAATCGTTGTATAGAATCTGGAAACAAAAAACTAGAATGTAACAGTTTGGGAACTTATTAGACGACATATTTAAAGAAAATAAAACGATGGTTTTATTGGAAAAACTGTCGTTTGTACATATAATCAATGACCGTTTTAACACAATACCGTCGCCTTTATATACAATCAATGACGCTTTTTAACAAAATACCGACGTCTTTACCCATAAATGACGACGGTTTTAAACAAAAACCGTCGTCTTTACACATAAATAACGACGGTTTTTTATAAACCGTCGACTTTACCCATAAACAACTACGGTTTTTAACAAAAGACTGTCGTCTTTACACCAGAACAACGACGGTTTTACTAAAAACCGTCGTCTTTACAGCTAAACAACGACGGGGAAAAGCCGTCGTAGTTTGATACTCCAAAAGATGGCGGTCAATTTAACGACGGTTTTCAAAGCATCTCAACGACGGTGGATTACCGTCGTCTATTTCATTTCTTGTAGTAGTGAGGAAAGAGAAGGAAAAAAGAAATTCATCCACTGAGGCTTGTTTTTTTTATTTCTTTTCTTTCCTTTGTTGTTTGGTTTTGTTGGAGGATTTGGGTCTGATGTGTGTTATCTCATCAAATAGATGGGTGTGGGGGAGAGAGACTTGGAGCCAAGATTCCACATCTAAAGGAGAAATTGGTGGGCTCTGATGTGGGTTATCGAGTGGGAGAGAAAATCTGGGTGAGAATTGCCCCCGTGGGAGGGGGGGGAAGGAAGAAGAAATCGGGATGGAGGTCGAGAGAGAGAGAGAGAGAGAGAGATGAGATTTATTTTAAAAAAAATTTGTGTGAGAACACATTTTTGCCTATGCCAAGTAGGACTTGTCCATGCCATGTTATCATTTTTCAAGGAAAAGTTGGCTAAGATGAAAGAAAAGACAATTTCTGAAAGTGGAGACATAATTTAGCAATATGAGGGACGAAAAGTAAAGTTTGGTCTTAGCATAGGGGCCATTGCTATAATTTAGCCTTTTAGAAAAAGAAAACCATTCATCAATCTATAACAAGAAAATATATTAACCCAATACTAAATGAAAATACATTGATTTAGCTAATTATTTCAAAGCTAGAAAAAGGACATCTATCTCTAATTAAGGCCAAATTGAGTCCACAGTGACCTTGAACTGTAGCTGCTATGTAAACTTAATATTAGGTATAACCATATGACTCAATAAATTATCTAAGATTTTGAAGTTCATAATTTTCACAATAGCATCAAGCAGAAATTCAATTAACATATACATACATACCTTGATAATTAGCCTTCAAATAAATGAACATTTTTGTCTTGAGGATCCATAGGTGAGCCGTCAGTGTAG